ATGAACATAAATTTTCACTGAGTACTTTTATGTAATAAGTATTGTGTACGTAGGTGTTTTTGTTGTTTGTCTTTATATAAAACTGAACATTCTATTCTTAGACTTTTTTCAATACATTGCTTTGAATAAACAAAGCATTATTTAAACATATCAGGGAAAATGGGTTTATTGTATTTGCGTAATCAATGGTTTCCTTATTTCTCGATATATTGGGCAGACAAGAAGAAAATGATACTCATCTTCAATTATATTATGTTGGTTGCAAAATTTACATATTCTATTATTTCGTTCTATATTTACCTATATCTACCTCATTCTATTTCTAAATTATGCGAAGATAATCTAAATCTACTTAAGGCAATCCGAAATTTCCTCTCACTTATTGAATTTAAATATGTTTCAAAGTTAAAAGATTGTTTAAACCTGCAGTAAGTAAGTAAACGTTGTGAATTGTTTATGTTTGCATACCAAGTTTGAAAATAATTATCTAATATCCTTGTTTAATTTTTAAAAATTACCAGTATCTTGATTTATCCATATATTTGAATGTCCTAGATTGTTTAACATTGTTTTTATCTGAAAGGCCCAATTCGAATTATTGTATGTTATATTATTGTTGGCATCAATCTTAAGCATGATATAAATTTGTTTTTGCAAAGAGTTGTCTGATTTCAGTAAATGGGTCCAATATCTTATCATATTTTTCAACAAATAATCATATGATCTCTCCCTAATTCTCCGTAGAGACCAGTAGTTTTAGTTGATTTATCAACACATAAAAGTTTTCGACAGAATTTTGTATGAATAAGTTCTATATCTGTTCCTGCATTCATTCTTCAGACTTTTGAACAGTAGTTTAGTACAGTAGCAACTAGCGAATCAAACCATTTACTTTTTTCAATAGTAGAAAAATCGTTCTTATCAAAAAATGAAAATAGTTTGTGTAAAGATTTTGATGCATGTTCTGCAATACGTTTTTGGGTTCTATTCCAATATGCATTTTTGAAAAAAATATACGCCTAAATATTTAAGAGAAGTAAAATTTTCTAGTAGAGATTATAAAGGTCAAAGTCATAATTTGTTTGTCTACTGCCTTTTTCAAAAATCACAACCTTTGTCTTTAAAGTATTTATTTTTAGACCCCATGTATCACAATATATTTCAATATCATTTACCATTGATTTTTAAGATTCTGGTGATGTTGCAAGGAACACCTGTTCATCAGCATTTAAAATTAAGAATAAAATTAAATCATCATATGTGAATAATCCATCTAGATTAGTATTTATATTGTCAACAATATCATTTACGAACATCATAAACATCAAAGAAGAACTGGGGTCTCCCTGTTTCACGCCCAAGTGTGAGAGAATTGGCTCAGAGAGTCTATTATTAAACCTAATACGTAATCGAACAGATCTATACATAGATTTTATTGCGTTTACCATTCTAGAGCTAACGTTTTCACTTACATGTAATAACTTTTGCCAGAGAAATGATCTATTTATCTTATCAAAACCTTTTTCATAATCAATGAATACACTATATACCTTTTTGCCAGAATTTAATAATTTTGAAATGACAGAATTCAAAATGAAAACACAATCGACTGTACTTTTCCCTTTTTGAAATCCGAATGGATTATAAGCAATTTTCTCATATTGTATAGTCCATTTAGTTAACCTATTTAAAAGTACCTGAGAGTATATTTTGGCTAGTATATTATTTAAAGTTACACCCCGATATTTAATTTTTGCGTCAGTTTCGTCTCCGCCTTTAAATATTGGTATTATATATCCATCTCCCCAAGCTTCAGGATAATCAGAATTTAAGAATAATCTATTAAATATATTAAGTAAGTATGGTGAAATGATATCATACCACGACTTGATAATTTCTGCGGATATACAATCGGGACCACATGCCTTAAAACTGTTTTGTCCATATACTGCGTTTCGAATTTCATTCTCGGTTATATCTTTATCTGAATTTTCGTAAATATTGGGTTCTTGTCTAAATTCTGATTCTTGATCATTAGTTTCAGGTATTTCCCCAAAAAGATTATTAAAGTGATCGTAAAGTTCATATATTTCTATTTTTACTTCACAGCTGTTTTTACTTTTATAGCATTTTTTATTGACTTCCAAAATGTACGCGGTTGTGTTTTGCAATTTCTTCTAAACGTTTCGCTTCATTAATTTTAAAATTTGTTTTGCTTTTTTTCCATTAAATTGTATTTAGTTTTAATTTATTTTGGTGAATTTTATTCTAATTTCGTCAGTTTTATTTTTCAGAAATAAATTCCTTGCTATTTTAAATTCCTTTTTACCCAAGTAGCACGATTCATCAAACCATTTCGACTTTTATTAGTCCGAATTTGTATATCCGAAATATGGACAGCCTTTTCAAATATTTCATAGCATTTGAATACAAATAGCTTGTAAGTGTCTCGGTCGGTGTTTCAACAGTATAGTTTTCCCCAACGCAGGAATCTATATCATGTTTAGTAGTAGTAGTGCTAAAAATATTTTACTGTGTCATTATCCCAAATTATTTTGTTTTCTGTAACATATCCCCTTTTCATGCCGTTATTTCCACTAACATAATTATGGCAAGAAATAAATTCATAATCCATACGCTCACCAATATAACGCTGTACCATTTCAGTCATTCAGTACAGAACCTTACAAAATCTTGTAAAAGAGTAATCATGTTTTTGATACTCATCATTTTTGGCGTTTAGTAAAAGTATTATTAACAAATTTGAAGGCATTTCATAAAATTACTGCAAGATACTAATTCGTAAAGTTGCTTTCAGCGGACACGTGTGTTGCAACCACTATTGAAATAAAACCACTATTGAAATAAATTATTTCAATAGTGGTTGGGAATGCATTTCATTAGAAAAATCGCTTTGCAACCACTATTGAAATAAAACCACTATTGAAATAAATTATTTCAATAGTGGTTGGGGATGTATTTCATTTGAAGAATCACATTGTAACCACTATTGAAATACAACCACTATTGAAATAAATTATTTAAATATTGTTCCGGGATGTATTCCATTTTAAAAATCAATTTACAGACACTGTTGAAGTACATAAACTATTAAAATTATTTTTCAATCGTAGCTTAGAATGAATATCTTTATAAGTATTACTTTGAAAATTTATATTTTATTCTTTACGTTTCTCTTTTTACAGACATATCATGTTCTATGAATATTGTATATTACATGTATTTAAATGATAGTGAACATATTGTCAATTGCCAGAACTTCTATTCAAACCCCCTGTATAATGAATCATTATTTATTGATAAATATTATTATAAATATTACTATTGAGATAAATTATTTCAATAGTGGTTAGGGATGTACGTCATTGCGACAACTATTTGAATATATTATTTCAATAGTGGTTAAGGATGCGTTTCATTTCAACCACTATTGAAATAAATTATTTCAATAGAGGTTAGGGATACCTTTCATTTCAACCACTATTAAAAAAAAAGTATTTCAATAGTGATTTGATGATGCATATCAGTTTTATGTCTATTATTATGTCTATTTGTAGCACTTTCCTTTCTGCTAGGGGAGTTTTTTCAGATATGAAGTATGTCTTATGATATGATAAATTCCTTTTTAATCATGATTTACCTTTATATGGTCATGCTTTCCATACCACCTGTCATCTGGAACTGACAAAGCTATACGCAGACGGAATAATAGGCATAAAAATGACATGCATTCCTACCACTTTTGAAATAGTTTATTTCAATAGTAGTTGTAATGAAACGGATCCTTAACCACTATTGAAATAACTTATTTCAATAGTGGTTGTAATGAAACGCCTCCCTAACCACTATTGAAATAACTTATTTCAATAGTGGTTGCAAAGTGATTTTTCTAATGAAATGCATTCCCAACCACTATTGAAATAATTTATTTCATTGTGGTTTTATTTCAATAGTGGTTGCAACACACGTGTCCTTTCTCTAGCCAAAACACATTATTGGCAGAAGTCAAAGCGTGGCATAGTCAACAAAATGTTTGTTTTCTTCCAAGATGCCACAAACCATAACTTCAAAAGCCGGAAAAAAAACAGAAACATAGATGTGATACAAAACAAAAAGATAAAAACAATGAAACAATAAACTCTAGAGAAGTTAGCATACCTATAATACAGTGTATTAAGTACTTATACATTTATCAACAAAAACAAAGAACCGAGATTGCAAACACTGTACAACGTTTTACATTATATCGACAGATTGTATTGCTATATAAGCTTTCATGGAAAATATTTGTTTTGTTACATTTGTCATTTTCTGTAGTGTAACTAGCTTAGAATCATTAAGAAACTCTCTTTTCGTCTAGATTTCCGTAAAACAGTTTAAATTGACGTATGAAATCAGTAAAATCCTTATCTATCTTTTCGTGTCAGTGTTGCTATACCTTCTTTGTTCATCTGTATCATAAATTGTTGAACTTTGATTATTGTTGAAGTCAGATTGTTTATCTCTGTGACACCTTTTGAAGACTTACTTTATTAGTTTGACATAATTTAAAATATTAGTTCAGATATTATATATTGTGAAAAGTCTTACTTCTTTGTGATGTTTTTTGTTTCAACATAATTATGTTATTATAACGTCTAACATACGTTTTTACAGTAGCATACTAAGAAAACCCGAATGTATGTTCTTTATTAAATCATGCGATAAAACTGTGATTATCTCAGCACGTAGAGCATTATGAATAATATCTGGGAATTTACTGGTTTATATATAAAATAGCTTTATAGTATATATGGTAATTAGAAGATCTTACAATATCAACAATAATACAATATGCTAGACCTAATCATATGAAATAAATCCATATTATAAAATTACTCTTTTTTATCCATTATTCATAATATAACAGTACTCTCTAAATGTTCGTTTGACTTCGTGTTTAGTTAGACTCTCATTCTAGATAACGCAGCATAGGTAGATGATAAACAAACTTCTCTAATACCTGTACACACGCACGCGCGCCTATTACAAGACGCGCACGTGAATTATTCGACAAAAATCTACATAATTCTAAATTTTCAAGTATTGGAACTTACTCGCTGAAGTGAAATGAAGAAAGTTTAAAGATTAAACATAAGTGTTCTTGCTTGCGTGAATACATGGAATATACTTTACCGTAATAATGTGAAATTGTTCTAATGAAAGTTTTTAAGATGAAAATATAAAGAATAAAAAATAATATAATAGCAGTGGATATTGAGTAATGTATATCCATGTTAAATAACAATACTGAAAAAAGTGAAAACACACAACTTTGTTTTTGTTTTGTTTTGTTTTCAATAGTGATAGACTATAGATGCGATTTAATGTTTTGTAAGTAATTTTCGAAATTATATCAAATCTTAGATGACCAAAAATAAATTTCCAATTTGAATATTTGGAAATAAAGGTCCTGCATTTGTGTCACAACTTTTAATATGAACTGTTAAATTGGATTTGAACCGGATAAAAACGGCACAATGGTATTACATAATTATATTTGTTTAGTGAAGACAAATTGTTTGGCACTCAACTCAGACACTTAGATATTTTTCTGGAATGTAGATTAAAACAAAAGAGGGTGTATCAGAGAGAAGTAAAATGTTGAAGACATTGCTTCCTTTGTTGCTGCTAATTGAAGGTATGAACATATTTTAGTTTTTCTCAACTGAGAGTTGTGGTCATTACTTGTCTTTTCTTTCTTTCTTTTAAATATAAATTGTCGTTTCTTTATATCATTCATCATCATTTTCATTATAAAAAGGGTTTCTACTTAAGTGTGTTATGACATAACAGGACTAAAATGTTTATATATATATTTGTACTATTTTATGTAGGTCTGTACCAACACTTCTGTAAAATATATCAGATAATTTCATCACTCCAGTTTTTCCCACCCCTTTAATAATCGTTATGATTATGAAAAAAAGTCCGCAAATAAAAAACGTTTAACCTTAAGGATATATTATGCTCAAATTTCATATTTAAAAGGACTGGTTATTACTATACAGTCTGTTTTGAAAAGTGAAATAAACATAAAATAAATGTATTGTTCCCCTGCCATTTTAAAAAATGCCTTAAATAATAACTAATGATCATTTCAATTGATTTTACTTGTGAAGAATAATGGACTATACAGAGAATGCTATTTACGTATATTTGTTTGTATTATTATCAGTCTTCCAATTTTGACAATTTACCAAGGGATTGAAACTTCGCTAAGACAAAAAAAAATAGAGAATAAAAAAATAAAAAGATAATAAACCAACAACACATCAATCTTAATGGTTAACCAAATAAAAACAAACATAAAATGTTTATATTTTCTTTATCAAATATAAATTATAATTAATTATAAAATAAAAGTGTTTTTGTTGTTGTTGTTGTTTGTATGTTTGTTGTTTTTGGTTGTTTTGTTTGCTTGTTGTTTTAATTCATTGCAAAGATAAAAAGTGCACGTTTGAAATTGATATATTTGCCGACATGAATATCTACAAGTTTATTTCTTTGAAGAAATATTTTTTCATATTATATTGTACTGCATCATGGAAAAATTGACTTACATGTATTCAACTGGTTTGCTATGTAAATTGGTATCTTATTTGTTATGTTTATATTGGTGAAAACAATACCATTATGTGTATATGGTTTATAACTAGTATACTCTCTATATGTTTATCTTCACCATTATTACTGACCAATAACGCGATCTACTCGTTGATTCATCAATATTTATGCCTGGAAGCAATAAAAAGTATTAAGCCTTGCAATTTCTCCCCTTAATCACTAATTATACAAACAGGTATTCCAGGAAGCTTAATTTCTTCTTTATGTATATTTTTCCCTTCGATCACACTGCATAATAATCAATTAACCCGGAGAGGGCAACGTTTATATCGTTAATGTACACCGTTTGTTCACTTGGAAAAGAATCTCCTAAAGAAAAGTCAGTATTAAAAGATTATGTTTGCTAAAGTACCGAAATGAACTATGTAAAATGATGTTATGATCATCACGAATAGGGTTTCACTATCATCAAGGCTGCAGGATGATATACAATCATGATAAACTATTGCAAACGATTGTTACTGAAATACTATTCCAAGACAATAAATAACCAAATATGTTAAGTTATTTACCGACATAAAATAACAGTGTTTTTTTTTCTTTCTTTTTCTTTTTTTTTCTTCTTTTTGCTGTTGTTGTTGTTATAATTCATTGCAAAAATAACATATATACATTTAAAGTTGATATATTTGCCAAGAAATCAACATGGATATACGAGATTGTTTCATTGAATACACATATCAAATATATATAATTATTATTAACTATTGCATATCAAACCTTTTACTTATATAATTCCACTGTGAACGGGTTTATTGAAGAAATTAATTTACTATTACTTTCATTCATTTTTTTGTGAAGGGAAAATACAAAATTCAAATTTTATTTCTATGGTTGACCATTTTCTTTTCATGATTTTCATTGTCTTTATAATATTATGGCATTCTCTATTTAAGAATAGAGCCAACCGTCGCAGTGGGCAACTGCCCAACTTCAAAAATAGTTGATTCGATAATGTAAAAATAAAAAATCAGGTAAAATGAAATTGAATTGTAACAAAATCTATATTCAGTACAGTGAGATTTACGCTGCATATCAATTATTTTAAGTAAGTCATACCAGTAGAGTAAATTCCAGGTTATACAATAAACTTTTCATAATGTTTAAAATATATGTGTGAGTATACAAACTTAAAACGCCTGTTATTCCCATGAATATAAATTTTCACCGAGTACTGTGTTATGTAAGAATTATTGTGTGCGTACGTATCTTTTGTTGTTTTTCTTTTATATATGTATAAAACTTTGAATATTTTGTTCCACTTCAAGACATTGTTTCGAAAAATGAAAGTTAACTAAACAAAGCATTATTTAAACATATCAGGGAAAATGGGTTTATTGTATTTGCGTAATCCATGGTTTACTTAGACTCTACATGAATTATTTTTCCTTTTTCCTCCATTGATTACGAGGTATTATGTTTATACAATAATTGTTAGAGTGATTACCTAAAAATCTTTAATACTCATATGTTCCTGCTATGCTGCAGCATATACATTATATCGATTTTATTCTAAATAGATGTTTTATGTAATACGCAGGAATTTCAGGTAGATAGGAAGCTCTTACATATGTTTGAACGAACCAAGCACAAACTCACATGCATTAATTGATTGATGTAAAAAGTACATAATTTGATATCAAACAGAAAATAATGAAAAAATGTGTATTAGAAAAAATAAAAGAAATAAATAAATAAAAAATGATAATATTTTTTTCAGCACTTAAATTACTACAATAGATATTATGAATAAAACCCTTAGCCTGTTAATCACACATATCATATTTGTCATATTTGTAAATATCATTCGTATTAATGTAATGTAATGTAACTTTGATTGTACTAATAGGTCATTGCCCTGTAAAAATCTTAGAAAATGCACGATTGTGCTATTCGAGTAGACTTAACGTCGGCCCATGTGATAATTGTAAATACATCTTTACGCTATCAAAGAGCATTCATTATAATTCTCTTACTATATACATTCTGTAAAACGTGTAAATATCATTCGTATTAATGTAATTTTGATTGTGCAGCTGGCTTTATTTTTCGGTCATTGCTCTGAAAAATGCACGATTGTGCTATTCGAGTAGACTTACCGTCAGCCTATGGGATAAATGTGAATACAGGTTTACGCTATCAACTACCTGAAAAGCGCATTCATTATAATTATCTTACTATATGTATATACATTCTGTAAAACGTGTAATGCTACACGAATTGATTATTGTTTTCTTACGAATAACGTTAAAACACATTCATGACTTGAACACATACATGTACAAGGTGTGGTAAATAGAAGAGCAGGATGTATGTATTTCTTCAGTTGAACATGACCCAAATTTCATAGGAAGATTTATTACAAACAGTGCATGGTACCTATTCTAAATAGACAATATATAGGTCGGATCATTGTAACATTTCTATATAGATATAGACTGTAAGTAAACGGTTTCTGCAATAGTAATTAACTCCACTGTATTTGTAAGACGATTGGTAAACGAATTGGTGGCAGGAATATAGAAGGTTATGTCAATCACAACATATATCCAAAGTATTTAGGGGTATAAAGTACTAAGGGAAGAATTGTTAGATATATGTTAGAGATATATGTTTTTCGTCCTCACCTTAGGAGTATGTAGGGAAGGGCATGTGGGTATTTCAAAGAATATTTTTAATAACCATAAAAAATCAAAGGTTGTTCCGTTCGCTGAGTTGCCATGTTCTTAAGATACTAAATCATAATAAAACTTTAGAAATATACTAAATGATATTTGAATTCTTGCTTTCGTACTATATGATGATTTATTTATACATTTTTATAATATGCCAACGCGTATTGTGACCGCGAGATAAAGAAGAATATAAAACCTGTTAATTTATCACAATAAAATTTCAGGTATAACCTGCAAGTGGTTCTGCGGAGAAAACGAACTACGATGTATAGATGGTACATGTGTACCTAACAGTAAACGAATGGATGGAAGGAAAGACTGCCCCGAGGGCAGGTATGATGAAGGTATGTATATACATGTATGTTTTTATTTCTTCTTCATTCCCTTATGCTTCAAAAGTTTTGACATAATTGAAGTTATATTCAATTAATAAATGTGTCCCGTTCTATGATTGATACGAGTAGTTCATAATGTACTTGAGTATGTACAGGACAACAGCGTTGCAAATGGTCCTATAATATGTCTGGATTTCAACAATCAGTCTCTTGTTCAATGAGCCATTTTATGTTTCCGTAGGTCTTTTTGAGAGAGATGCTTTCATAAAAAATGTCTACATTGATGAAACAAAGCTCCCTTTATCACGCATGAAGACTGAATGATTTGTTTCTTTATTAAAATAAACCTGAATGTTTTACGAGGAGCCTTCAGTAACTACATTTACACCACTAACAACTCGTGTAACACAATAAAATGACGGATACTGCATTTCGTACAGTCATTGCATTAACATAAATTGCTTTTCACCTAAAATATGATATTTATATTACCTTTGTATACAAAAGAAATGTTTTACCTAGGCTTTTATCATTCTTAGCATTAGCAAAGATCACAAAAAGCATAAAACATTCTACGAAACAGCGTTCCAGTGTGGTTTTGATTACTTTTTATTCTAAAATATGCAGAAAACATTATAGATGTTATGCAATTTAACGTCTTGTGTAATCACTTAATCAGAACTTTGTACCACTCTTCAGGTAGGCAATAGCACAACAGATAAATCATAGCATTGTAAAATTGCCAGTTAATATTTCTCTTAACTATAGATGAAATATTTTACACAAACGCTTTACAAACAAAATAGTTTCAAACATGTATGCAAAATTTATATAATTGCTTTCCCTAGAAAAAACCAAACTTGCAGATGTCAATTTAAAGTATTATGGCATGAAATTATCAGTTTGGCAAAACTCCTTTTGATTTCGTTTATACAGAATCTATTTAATTCGGTTAATTAGGAATCAACTAGTACTGAAGGGCGAGTTTTTTGCACAAGGAAACAAGGGCTTGTCCCTGACAGGAATTGAATCCTAACACCCAGCAATCCTCAGACCTTTCGGAAAGTTACCTATATTCTGTTGAATTGAAAGTAAACAATATGAAGTCTTTACAAATGTCATTTTCGATTATCCATGTAAATGTAAACAATTTGTTTGCCCATCATGACATATAAGGTTGACATTATGTTATTTCATGATTATGGAATGTTTCGTCATTCTTGCATATTGTATGTATTTACATTAGGCATATCCGTTGGCCTTTGTCATATAGGTTACAAATGCGTGGCTAAAATAGCTAAAGATTTTTTTTTCATTTTATCTCTATTGATTAGACTTAATGAAACTTGAGTTTTCTATTTTCGACTTGTCTTTCATTTAAATGTTCCTTTTCCAGAATTTATTTCGTCAACCCGTCTACTTTTTTACACCTTAAATAAAACGAAGGCTAAGATATTACTCATGCTGTGCGATAGAAAATGTACTTTTAGAATTCAATGTATAGTATTTAACTTAGATCAAACGTCCTTAGTTAAACTTATACAAAGTCTTATTTATATTATTCTATAGAAACAGACCATAGACTCTGGTGTAAAACTACTCATGGAAACTGTGCAAATGGGAAATGTATACACAAGAAGAAATTTGATGACGGCATTAATGACTGCGGGGATAACTCAGACGAAGGTTGTTTCGAAAATTGTAGAATTGTAGAAAATAAAACTTTATATTTATATAATTAAAGTTGTGCTAAAAATTCTACAATCAAAATCCATGTTTTTCGTCAACCAAATTTGATTGTGATACCTAATATCTAATACTAGGTCTTGTATTCACTTTCTTTTTTTGACATTGAAATACATTGTATATTTCTTTGACAAATTTAAATGTATTAGACAATTACATATATCATTTATGTTTAAGTATTATATTGAACAAGTGTCATTTGTCTTTTATCTATATTCTTTCAGTGCGTTTTCCATGTACACCGCCACTATATTCATGCAAAAGCACCCCGGTAATCTGCATCAACATGTCAAATTTAAATGATGGCGTCACAGATTGTCCTGATGCGTCTGATGAAGGTATGGGAGACAAAATCCTTATTGCGACTAATATAGACAGTCTAGATGTTTCTATTGATGGTTGTGATACAGTAATTGCTAGAAAAAGAAAGAATAAAGAATTGAGCCATGAAGATTTGGCGTGTAATTTTGCAGCAATGTCAATAACAATACATCTAATTATTTGTACTACAACTGTAATTGTGTTAACTATCACTATATTGTATAATTGATACCATTTTGCGAGAGAGTCTTTGCAATGAATGATTGTTTTATTAGCATAAAAAGTAATGTATGAATGAATGTTTTCTTAAGAGATTAAAGCATGCAAAGCATGTATTTGTGTGTGAATTACATCTTATCTGTGTAAGTGATATCTAAAAAGTATTGTTTGATATATATTAAGTAAATTGTTTGGTTAATCTCAGTTGGTATTAAGATATTGGCAAGAAATAGTGATAGATTTTCAATGACATTTAATAATTTTGTCTATATTCCAGTTAAACGCCTATTGGGCAGTTGTGGTTTAAACAACGAGTGTGAAGGGAATTGCACGTGCGGCAGATATATTCCGCAATCAGTTTGTTTGAATGACACATGCATGTGTGACACTGGATACCGAATAGCGGGGAATAGGAAAATTTGCATATCACGTGCGTACTACTCACTTTTTTATAAAAAAATACTTAAACTGTATCCATGCATTTTCAGTGTTAAACTAGAATCAAACGGAAAGACATTCAAACAAAAACATAACAACTATTTTAGTACGTGGTATTTTTAGTATATATTGTGTACTTTTTCTATTTAGTTTCTCTTATTCTTGAATATTTTACATTGAATAATGTTAGATTCGGTATAAATAACATTTATTGTTATATTTCTTGTGTGCGTAGAGTTTGGAAATGAACATTTAACTCTTCATATTTTGTGTTATTGTAGACGTGGCATGTCAATATCGATCCATATTCATCCATTCAATATGATTGTTTCTTTGTAGGCAAATGGAGTTAATAATTGTGTTATTTGTTTTGTTTTCTAAGGAAAATTAAAGGACTCTTGTTCTAATGATACAGACTGTTCTGTTGTTATGAACAACACAATATGTGCTGAACAAGTTTGTAAATGTGATGTTGGTTATATAGCAGATAGTAAAGACACCTGCAGAAAAGGTAGATTAAGTTTCAATACCTATTACCTACGCAAGTATGATAGGCTTGCCTTTTATTATTTAACAACAGCAAATAAACGCATGTCACTTTAGAATGATAAGAAATTATGTTTTAATTCAAGTGAAATATTTGTTTAGAAATACATCCGCATTTGTATGCTAAGAATGATATTGTTTTTTATCTATCTATTTAATGTTTTATTATTTTATCCTTAAATTCAGGAAAATTTAAGATTTGTTATTTGATATATGTTATGTATATACACTATAAAATTTATGAACTTGATTAAGAGACAGACCGTGGTAATATAAGATTATGTAAATTATTGTTGTATTATATGTTATTTCGGCAGTTGTCATTGGAGACGAATGTGATGACGACCATGAATGTTTGCTGTTTAACAATCATAGTAAATGTAAAGCAGGGATATGTGATTGTGCTTCTGGATATTACACCGATAACTCAACATGCCTCCCTCGTAAGTATTTTACGTTTGTTTTTAATTAAAAAGGGCGGTTTCAATCATTAAAAACTATACAAAAAACCAAAGGTTGAGATGCGACCTTGTATCATTGTTATTTAAAACACCACATCATAAATGATGATAGTTAGATACAGTATGTGTTTTAGCTCGGTTTAACTTCTTTATTCAAAGTGACATTGTTGAGAATCATTTAATACAATATCTTTTGCTGAAGTTCTGAAACTCATCAGATTTGTTCTGCTAGATTTGTTATTTATCTCTTTTTTCCTCATGAAAAGACTCTTCAAAACAGAGTTAGTTTCGAACATAATTTATGGATGATATGACATTACAAAAGAAATCATCAAAGAAATTTTAGGAAGATATTAATAGTTACTTTTCGTCTCAAGGAACAGTCCAATCTGGGACCTTAATTATTTTAAGTCCCAGGTCATATATAGATTAATATTTCAAATAAAGGTCTTTAATTTTGTACCATTCTAAAAAAATGCAAAATAGTTATAATCAAAAAATAAAATCGTTTACCTATTAACTCATTCACATTAACAAATGAGTGATATAAGTGTCAAAAGGATACCATTCAAACAGTCTATTTCAAGCTTATATTTTGGCAGTGTTGATGCTAAAATATAAAAGAATAAATTCTGAATTTAAGACCACATTGGAGACGTATGTAATGTAACTGAGGATTGTTCAAGTGTCATTGACGACAGTGTGTGTGACAATGCAACATGTATATGTGATATTGGTCATTATGCTAGTGATAACAAGGATATATGTCTTAGAAGTAAGAAAGATATATTTATTTATTGACACATTTTCCTTTTGCATTTTGCTATATTTAACCATTTATATGTTTTATATAATATACTTTTTCTTTAGAATAATGTGGTAAAAATGTCTGTAAAAATCTACATCAGGCTATTTTATATGAGTTGCAGAGATATGGATCGTGAATTGGAATTGGTCAAAATGTGTTGTTTTTATTGTAAATTAATAACTTTTTAGCATTCAATTAGGTACGATCTTATCATTCCTTAAAAAGTTATTGGAATAGTTTTACAGTTTGTTATACTATATGTCATTTACATTCATTTTAGGAAAACTAGCAGATACGTGTAAGGTAGATGAAGACTGTCAATCAGTAATTAACAACACAATTTGCAAAGATGGATATTGCTCATGTGTAGGAAATAGAAAACCGGTACAAAATCGTACTGCGTGTGTTCAAAATGAAATAGGTGACGAATGCAACATGGACAGCAATTGTGAGCTGATTGAAAACAGTTTCTGTTTCAGAAATAAATGTACGTGTAACTATGGTTACCATGACTATGAGAGCAATAAGACATGTATAAGACGAAAATTACTTGATAGATGTGACGTCCACGGTGATTGTTTTTATGCTGTTAATTCAAGTTTATGTCAATCGGGAATATGCCAGTGTGAAAAGGGTTTGATAGAAGAAAACAATTATACAGTGTGTCGTTCTCGAGTGTTAGGGGATACATGTAGCGATTTATTCGATTGTTCTTTATCAGTTCATTATTCTAACTGTACGAATAACACCTGTAATTGTTTGTTTGGATATCACTCCTCGAATGCCAGCACGTGTCAGCTTAGAAAAATAGGAGATGAAACATGTCAGATAGATCGGGATTGTGAAGCTGCTGTGTCAAATAGTGAATGCAGGAATAATACATGCTTATGTCTATCTGGATTCATGGAGATGTTTAATGGTTCATTCTGTGCAAAACGTAAGTCTGGTTGTCAAATATTCTCTTGTTCAATTTTATTCATATATAGTAATCGTCCATTTTGGTAACTCTGTCTGTACAAGACACGGAATTAAATGACAGGTACATTCAATATGATAATAAATCTTTTATATATTGCGCTTAATTCTCTAGAATAAATTTCTTTTCAATTGGCCTTGACCTTTTTGCATGATAAATGTAAAATTTCAGCTTTAAGTGTCATAATCATGTCAGTAACTTATAAAACAACACATTATACTAATGCATTTTCCTTCACCCCGAAATAATATTTAGAAAATGCTATATATCAGGATTGTTTTACTTTCCAGGAAATATAACTTCTTCTTGTGAATTGAATGCTGACTGCAGTGATTCGATGAATTATAGTTTGTGTGTGAATAAAACTTGTGAATGTTTCTCCGGTTTTAAAGCTGTTAATGATGACAGAGCTTGTGAACTTCGTGTACTAAATGACACGTGCGAAACAGATTCCGATTGCAGTGACGCAATGACAAATACTAATTGCTCATTTGGAAGATGTTTCTGCAATTCAGGGTACAAATCTACTCAAATGAAAGACGTCTTAGAAATTTACACCAAATTACCCGCTCATAATACTCTCTTAAATGACAGTTCGCCGTCTGCAGTTAGCATGAGGAATTCCGAAAATGAAATGCAATGTGTTTTAAGACAAATTGGAGATGAATGTGTTGTTAGCACTGATTGTTCAGATGCTGTGCCAAATAGTCTCTGTGAAAACAATACGTGTGTTTGTAAACAGGGATACAAAACAGGAGTCAACTCAACATTTATATGTGAACCAAATAAAATATCCGATGTATGTAACGAAAACGCAGACTGTACTTTGGCGGTGAATGATAGCATTTGTGCAAATCGAGAATGTAAATGTATTAGGGGATTTCAACACAGTGATGATAAAACTGAGTGTAACCGTCGAAAGATCTTCGACAATACATGCTACTCATCCAGTGATTGTTTCATGGCCGTGACGTACAGTAGCTGCATAAAAAGTCAATGTTTATGTAACTCTGGTTATTACGCGTCTAATGGGAATCGCACGTGCACAAAGTTCAAAATAGGGGATAACAATTGCACAATACTTGATTGTAAGGAGGCGGTATCAAGTAGCACTTGCAGGAACGGACAGTGTAAATGCATAAACGGTTATATGGCAGATAATAACAATACAGTGTGCAACAAACGTATGTATACATATTTCTATTTTGGGTAATGTTTAGCGTTCAGATTAATATTTTTATGTATTTCTTCATCATATTTAAATCATATCGATTTCAGAAGTGCTTTGATATTGACATAGCTCATGCGTTCTTTCAAATACATTAGACAAATTTATCTTATTTCAATAATTTGTAAGCTTTGAATCAACTGTCATTTGTATTGTAAATGGTACAGAATCAGAATTAAATGTTTATTTATTTCTTTTATATAGAACTTGCGTATTACAAATAACATATGTGTTAGTGCAACATTCTACAATTAATATCATATCCATTAATAGTCTAACACTTATTTTTGTTAAAGAACAGCTTGTTACATAATAACATATGTATTAGTGCAACATATTACACTTAAGAGTCTGTCACTTATTTTCGTCTTACAACCTATTGTATATGCGTTTGTAAATAGCTTGCTAAGATATTATTTATATACAGGTATTTTCGGTGACCCATGTAATGTAGATATAGACTGTTCTGCAGCAGTCTTACGAGGTTTATGTAACGGAACGTGCGTATGTGAATCTGGTTATGAGCCCAAACCTGATCTTGCATCAAGAATGTGCGTGAAAAGTAAGCATTGTATTACAGTATATAATAATTGTGATAATTTTCTCATGCGTGAAGAGTATGGAGCAATATAAAGCTTCTATTATCATAATATTCCTACTATGTGTTAGTCGTCGTCATCGTGTACGTCGTCGTCATCATCATTAAATATGATTTTATTTATTAAACTTCCATTCAGAATAATATTGTTATTATTACCTAGTTCTTTTCCCACGTTATTACAAAAATACGTTTTTAAAAATGAAATAAATTAAATTGTTATAATATAATATTCTGCATGATAAAGAAAGAAGGCAAACTAACTTTTAAACAATTTGAGCCGCGTCAAGACAAAACCAACATAGTGGGTTTGCGACCAGCATGGATCCAATCCAGACCAGCCTACACATCCGCGCAGTCTGATCAGGATCCATGCTGTTCGCGAACAGACCCTATAACAAGTTAAGAAACTGATAGCGAACAGCATGGATCCTGATCAAACTGCGCGGATGCGCAGACTGGTCTGGATCCATGCTGGACGCAAACCCATTATGTTGGTTTTGTCATGACGTGGCTCATCTTATGTTGTACAGCTCCAAAGAAGTTGTTAGATACTTGTAGCTTTGATGAACAATGTTATCGTCTTGACAACATCAGTAGCTGTGGGCACATTATCGGGTTTGAGACTAGATTCAACTTCTGCGTTTGTAAACCGGGCTTCTTTGTACGTCGTGACCTAGTTGAACAATGGAGTTGTTATGGTAATAGAAATTATTATCTGAACCATTATTCTACCGTTTGTGCATATTAAGTAAATAGGATGAAGTTAAGTTGAAATATTCAAATCATTCTTCATACTTAAGAGTTATCATTGTAAAAATTGCTAAACATGTAAATGTTTATTTATTGAGTTTCCTTTAAAAACACTAGACAATTCTGGACGACAATAATATATCATAATTATTGAATTTTAAACACTTCAAATAAGGCCGGCATTCAGATAATTTTATAAACTTTGATCTATAAAGGTTGAAATAAAGAAAGAACAATAGTGTTTAGTTGTTTATTCCCGACTCAATAAAATATACAAGATATGAAACCTTAAAAAAGTTCGTATGCTATTTTACAGAACCCCGATTTATAGGTGACTTTTGTGAAACTCGTGCATGGTGTCATTTTGGAGGAAAACCCGTGTACTGTGACAACAACGAATGTACGTGTAGACGTGGACATATACCGAACGCAACCTATAATGGCTGCATACATTGTAAGAAGTTTTGCAAAGTATCTTAATTCTGATAATATTTATGGTATAAAAAAGTAAACGATACAAATATGTATAGCCTTTCAGACGTCCTTGCCATTTAAATCTTGTTCTAAATGTTTGTTATTTGTTGCACAGTAAAAAAAGCCTCAGTAAATTAATTAATGAGTCAGTTGTAAGTTGTTACGCACATATTTGCATGCAAATTATTTTCAAGCAATTTATACAAATAATTTAAAAGCAACCTAAAACAAACATAAAGTTATAGACGTCATATCCGCATTACAAATTGATAAAAGGAAAATTCAGCAAGTCTTTGTGAAGATTTTACCTGTAAAGATTTCTGATCAAAAATGTTTTGCCTTCAGTGCCGGAAGCGGTTGGGGATTTCTGCCGAAATGATTCTCACTGCAGCGCTATACCTAATTCCGAATGCTATGTTGGTGACAAGAATAACACGTGCCAATGCCATTACAAATACATTTCGAGTCAGGATGGCAGACAATGTATTCCCAGTTAGTATGACTTAATAAATTTAGAGTTATCTTTTGAATGAGTAATATTTATACTAGTAAATGTTAAAATGTTGCGGCTAAATAGAAAAAGTTTCAGGCTCTGCTTTAGCCTATTCATGGACAGTAGTGGTGGTAAATGCAACCTACTTGACCCATATACGATTGGTTTTGCAACAAGATCTTTATCACACTTATTCTCATTAAGTTATGTGTGAAAGTTATATATATTCTAGAATTTAAAAGGTCAATATATTGGAATACCAGGATGCATATCAATGAACGTACTTAGTATTGATTTGATCAGATGTAACAAATTGTCGAAATGTGGCTGTAAATTATAATTCAAATTCATTTATTTCTATAGGACAATATATGTTCGAGCCTGTGGTACCACCAGTGGCTCTGGGCTTAAAGTGTGAAAAACGGAGTACATGTGAGAGGTCAGAGGAAGGTCGTAAATATTGGCAATGTGCCAAGGAAGTAGGTCGAACACACTCTCGTTGCCAGTGTGTACCAGGATATGCCAGTAATTATAGCTCCGAAAGGTTCAAATGCCAAGGTAAATCCTTTCTGTAACGAAACCTAATAAATTGCACCACCTACTCACAAAAAAAGGCATTAAAAGACAATTATCTATTTTTTGTAAGTATTGTCATCTGCTTATGCTATTTTGTCCTAAAGCTGTGTTTCAAATTAAATGGTAGCCCTAATATAACTGAATATCGTGTTGCAACATCCTGATTCGCTTTTTCGTTTCATGCATCAATTACAATTAAACATAATGGACATAATCTTTCGGCGGCGGTTTTATATATGATATTCTAATTATCAACTTTTTCAAGCTCTTATTAATACGAGCAAGAAACAATCTTAAGATGGACGTGAAATTTCCTTGTAAAAGTTTTTAAATGCTGCAATCGAATGCACAGAGATAATAGCAAGTGCATATACCCTATTATTTATCATTAATATATTACAAATATAATGTAGAGAACAAAAATTTTACAGAACAACAACAGTCAATAATGTTGCTGTTTAGTTTATTTAAATTAAATTTCCTATTTTGTTGTGTTTTCTTTCTTTTTTCCAGAAATTCAAACATATTATTTCAATATTAACATATCTCACGAGCTTGGTTGTGAAAAAGGAAGTAAAGAAGATATACCAATGTGTTACCAATATCAACCAGTTCGTGTTCTAAAGCAGTACAGCAATGAAAATACAAAACCTTTCTTATACATACGGGAGAGATTTGTTCTGCTAGGGGTAAGTAGTTAGTTTTTTTACATTAAGATCGATAGATAAGTTCTAAACAGGTGCACTAACGAAACTTAACAAGTATATCCATGTGAAATACAATTCCTTTTTTATATAATGTAATTCAGCGTATGATTTTAACAAAAAATAAGAGAACACAAATGTTTTCAAAGATTTGTTTTACTTATATTACACCTTTACACATATACATAATTAATTAAAGAAGGAATCGAGCAAGGACCAAAAATGAAATAATTTCACAATATAAATGCAAATCAATAATTACAGTAGTTTACTATTCAGCTGGCCGCACTTTTCAACGACACCCCTGCATTCATCAGAGATCGTTACATGACTAGCGAGGTATTGAACATCACAGAAGCTGGTGATCAGATGACCGTCGGAGTCCTTGTATACTTCCTAGCAGATTATTATAATATCATCAATGAAACTGAATTAGAGAACGAAATGATTAACAGTCTCATACGGTAAATTACTGGAACGTTACTATAATTTGATATATTGATTATCTTAATCATGTTACCTATAACTAACGGCATTTACATTACATATAAGTGCGGCATCATCACAATTGTTTCATGTAGATAAATATATATTTCTATGGTTTTGTCCTTTATGTGCTGTTTTTAAAATGTACTAGTAGTGAAGATGCCTTCATCCTAACCGAAAACGATCATGTATTTTGCCTTATCTTTGGTCACTATATTATCATCATTCGAATCTGTACTGGTTAGTACAAAAGGCGGACTCAGGTATTGTCCAAAGCAGCCCCCCTGTAATTCTCTCATGGTCGGGCTTAATCACTAGAAGACAGAATGAAATGGCCAATAACATTTTAGTCACCACATTTATGATACCATTATGGCATCTAAACGCATCTTATTTATCAATAGACAATAAAACAAATCTGACACTATCGTGATGGATTTTCGTGTAATCCTGTATTATATTAGTACCTTTGTTCCTAACATTTTTTTGCATTTGTTTGAATACGTAATAATTTGTATAAAAATATGATTTTATTCAGATTGAATAATATTTCAGATCTAATGGGGAAATAGGAAAAAGCCAACTCAAAATGTCATGGCCTTTCGATGCCGCTATAGAATATAAAGGTACGTTTTGTATATTAAGTTAAGCTGTCAATTACACTCCCGTCAACTGCACCCATGTCAATCGGCACGACAGATAAAACACATAAGTGTGGTATTCCCTATGTAAGTGTGTGCGTGTTAAGTCGCGTAAATGTGGTTGACATACATGGACAACTCAGAAGAGAGAAAAGCAGAATCCCTAAACATAGCCAAACACGACACAATTCTTTCAATATAAATTCATAGTTTACAGAATATCGTTTTTTCGGAACAATGTTCAGTAATTTACAGCAAATTGTACTTGTTATTGTAGATTTTGATGAGTGTATGGAACAAGGTGGTCGATTTTCTGACTGTGCTTCTATCGCGTGGTGTTTGAACACACGTGTATCATACATGTGCTCTTGCAAACATGGGTACGAAGACTGGTCTGTTGATAGTGACAAACGTCCCGGCAGAATCTGCGAACGTGAGTGATACTAAATATTATAGCCATGTCATTTCAAAACTTCAAGCCCCTAAGCCTGACGTTTGGTAAACATTATCTTTTACCTAAAGTTGTTTCAATTGTACGAACCTAAAGTTTATTTGAAAAAAAAATATTTTAAGGTATGAATTGTATGTATTCAAGATCTTCTTGCAGTAACTTTTAAAAAGTTTCAAACCAACTCGTTTTTTCTTTTTTAAATGTACTAGTATTGCTGTCTTGATATTGATAAAAATTGCCTTGTTACTGTCTTTGCATTATAATTATGCATGCTATTTTTAATGTTCGTACACGGCAACTATGTTAGCCTTGGATGAAAGTTAAACCTATATTTTATTTGTTGTTCAGTTCCACAGGACGTTACCACCGATAGCTTGAGGTAAGTATGACTTAATTTGTCTCCCTTCCTTTGAATGATATGTTTAAATACTTGTTGCATTACATGGGAGACTTTTCCATTCCCTTCCTTTTATTGTCCGAAACAAAGTTGCAGTGTTGAAAAATCCTTGTATTCAAAGATACGAGCATAACATTAAATGCAGTAACTCAAGTATCCGCTTGTTTTCCTTGATATTTTGTAAAATGTTCACCAATGCTTTTGAATATTTTTCCTTCGGAGGGATTTTCAGTGTAATCATAATAAATATTCTTGAAGAATGTGGCGATGTATCCAATAGAGACGTTAGTTCAATTGAGAATTATAGACATAATTCCATTTTAAACATTGTGTGTTCTCCCTATAGTGAATGGCCTGTGATATATGTTTACATATTTACATTATTGTATTTCCTTGTGTTTTTCATATAAAAATGTACAAGAATGGTGCCCACCCATTAAAACATCATAACACCCCTCTTGTGATTACAAAAGAATGAATGTCTATGTATACTATATACCTATATTTGCGTTTAAATTTACGGAAACCAAAACACATAAAGAGAAACTTTTAAACAGTAAAAGTACAAAAGAATATATGTTTTTTTATTTTTTAATTCATTATTGAATGGTTGAAAGTATATACAAGGATAATGTGTCTTATCTATTTACTCATAGCTTGAATAATTGTCGTCCCGTTTTACAACCCTGAATGATCCCTGGTTTATATATAATATTCAAATACTTAAGTATATATCCCTGAAGTGTGTATCTCTTATTGAAATGATGTGTTGTATAAATACAGGATATGACAAAACAAATGTAAATAATAGTAAATATATTAAATATGTTATAATAAAAAAGAACATAACATTGTGTCATATTGAAAATAAGCACTGTGTTATTCAATTATAAAAAAAACGACAAAGCAAACGTTCATGGTTCTGATTTTTATAATAAAAAAAGTGATTGTCAGTATTGTTTTATATGAGAGAGAAAAAATGCAGACGTGTTATTCCTTTAAAAATACAAAAATGGGAAATACGTTGCCGGTCATTTTCTTTATTGCATGTTAACAAAATATACGTGAGGTGAAATAAGTGTGTAACTGGTTCTTATGTCGATTTACAGACTTCCCTTTTTGTGCCAAACCACTTCCTGTTTACGTTTTTCTTCTCTGTTTACCGTATTTTATTAATAAAATCCGCTCTTACATAACGCCCAAAGATATGTGACGTACATATATCTCACGTACACTTGTTACCGTACCGTAAGCATGACGTGCTCGGTAATTTACTCGGCACAAAACATGATTGTTTCCGTGAAAGCATGAAATATGCATGGTATGTAACTGTCCATTTTACAAACAGATATATCTTTGCCTTATATACTTGCAATAAAAGCTCTATTTACAAGCATAGAATTGTAACCTTTAGAATAATATTTGTAATGGAAATGCAGTAGTGAATTTGCAAATTTTGTAAATACGAATTTGATTCAATGATGGAACCGTCATACATGTATGTTCTTCTTTGTGAGCAAGGGTACATACTATATATATATTCTTAAATGTATCATCTATCCTGCCTCACAATTTGTATTTTTTTTTTCAACAGGTTACATATCATGAGCATGTTCGACAAATTCAAACATAGAATATGCTTTCTCATCAATCATATTAAATAGCTTGATGATTTAAGCAAATGACAGACTAATGACTGCTGATGATCATCTTGATTAAGGAAAAGTGTAGTTCAATGCTTCTCTATAAACATTAGCTTTCGGTAGTTCTACTAAAGTACCTGTACGTACCAGAAATAACGCACGGAGATGCACTTTAAATCTTCCGTCACCAGTAAAGCTTGAAAAGGTCGCCATATGACCTATGCAACGTTGATGCGACGTAATGTCCAACTAAAATAGTAACTTAGAAAATTATATCTTGGTGTTTACTGATCTAACGACAATTTCGTATTTTTCAGTTGTTCTGATGGGAAGTGTGAAAATCAATGGGAATGTGAGTACATGTAAAGACAATTTATGGGTTTTTTTAAATATAAAAGTTTTACAGTAACTGGTCTAAATGCAATAAAATCAAGAAATTTTATCATATGCTTCTTCCCTAAACAACGATGAAGTGCTGGTCGTTTAGCAATAAATGTACAATAGATGCTGGTTTAATTTGATATAATAAGGTGCTGTCAAGTGTTGTTGATAAAAGGACATCCATTGTGCTAAAGTTTTAGTTTCGCATTGTTAACATACTTGATCATACTTTTGCATGTGTACCATTTGACTATGACAGAACAATATCAGCATACCGCTGTCACTTCTGGATGCCACTGACTACATATTGGCGTTGGTATACAGCACAAAAAATGGAACAATATTGTCTGATTGGCTTTGTCAAATATTGCACATTCAAGCGGATGGTAGTAGCAGTGTCAAACAGAAGCACATTGCTGTTTAGACTTTCCGATTTTTTTTCAATTAAAGCTTTGATAAATATATTATGTATTGATATAAGTCTTTCATTACAGATATAAGCCTGGCACTAGTTGGGTTTGGTTTCATATTATTTTTCTTTATTGGGTATGAGATATACACTAGAAAGAAGAAGCTCGAAAAGAGGTACAGAATCTGTATGTAAATGTTTTATTACTTTTTGTTGTTGTCTTGTGTTTGTTTTGGAATTCATTCGTTGCGCAATGAGTTTGAACCAAATTTTTTGAAATTTTGAATTGTCTTTTGAATTTTCACAGTTTGCTATTACTTTTCATATACGTACTCCGATTGTAAGATGGATTGACTAGCATCAAGACGCGTGTTGCTGTGTTGCATTTTTAAAATTCGGCATATTTTCCAAAGCGGTTGTAAAATTATTTCCATCCGGTCAATGTCGCAGTGCACTTTGGAATTGCGCAGCGGAAGCATTCAATGACAATAAATATTTACCACTCTTTTGTGATTTTCTTTTATAGTGACATTTATTACAAATTACAAAAGGCGGCAAAGAAAGCAAAGTTAAAAGCTTTACGAGAAAGAAGAAAAACTATAAAGAAAAAGAAAAAAGATGAAGCAAAAGAACAGAATCAAACAAAAGATAAGGGAAAAATGGGGGAGAAAATCGGGGAAATCAGAAAATGAAGGTTTTGTAGAAAAGCTGCTGAAAAAAGGGGTGAAGCGCTGGGAAAAACCCAAATTGAATTGCTTTTGAACAAGCAGATAGTACTGTTCCTAAACAGAAAGTTGAAACTGTATCAGAACTCTAGAACCTGAATATATTTTAAAAGTGTGCAGAAAGGGCTTTCAATATGTGTTTTACTAAAGACAAATGTGTCTTATTGAAAATATAAACATTGTATTTCTGTTTTATATGTCTTTAAGTATGCTACAAAATGAAGTACACAGGACATAATGTAAGTCTTACTATGTGCCCTACCTTATTTATTTATTTATCTATTTTTATTATTAAATGTTATTTGCATGACTGAAATAGATTTCAAGTAACATTATGATCATGTGATAAGTAATTCTAGTACAGAAGCATGTTTATCTAGAAATTTATTTAACCTTCATTCATTCATAAAATATAGTGAGACCATTTTATTGTAATTTCAACACATTCCTAAAAGTTGGTATATATGTGCATAATTTGTATTATTAATAGTATGCAAATATAAGTTTGTGTTTCCTTATAGTAAGTTGTTTTTAGTATAATAAGCTGTCCACTTAGCACAATAGAGAGAGCATTTGATAAGCAAACCAGGGGTTGCTAGTGCGATCCTAGGGCGAAATGTAATTTCTCTGTTACTATTGATCTCAGACATTAGGTCTTTTGGTCCTTTGTCTCTTGCCGCTGACACAGAAATCATGACGGATTAATATGTCGGTCATTTGAGAAGAAAATAGGCATTACTGGTTAGCCAGAACAGCCAGTAAGAGTGATTGGCATGCGATATATGACCAAATATACGTTACGATTGGCTTGAAAAAATATAACAAAGTCCTAGAATTGTATAAATAATTCAAAAGTATATTCATCAAATAAGATTTTGGTTACAAAATTTATTTTTATGCAAAAACAAATAGTCGTATATATAATTCATTAAATTATCTTAAAGCTAATAACAAAGTTGTTGGTCTCTCACGCCTTTGAGCACATGCTAGATAATTTACTTCACAAACTACACGTGATCGTGAATGTATTTGCAAAATATGTGCAAATTTAAAAAAGGAAAACACACATTTGCTAGCTGACTGACTAAACATGAACAGCAATATTATAGTACAAATGTATCAATAGTTTTAATATAAATATCTAGTTAATGATGTGATACAGTTTGTTTTCACTGTTTATTAACGTTTTATTAAATTTCATTTGACTAATTTTTGTGCATTTGTAGGACTTTGAACCAGGATTGCAGCAATTCAATTAAATTTATTGGTATTCAATTTAAAGATATAAAGTCTCGATTTCATCGAAATAATCACCAGTTGGGAGCGAATAAAATGTTATCTGTTATTTAAAATCATTCAGGGCGTTGTAAAGATGAGATGTGGAAAAAAAAAATATGCAAAACCGCGGACAGCCTTAAGATATTAAACTGCAAAAAAAATCAAATTTCTCATGACAGATTTACAAATGAACAAAATCAAAACTTGTCAACAAAAGTATTTCACAATTTATCCAACAAATTTCACAATAACGTTTACATTCACCTTGTTTAACAACATACCTTGTCCCTGTAGCGTCGTCAGATAACTACCATATTAGGACATTTGACGTTCGAGAAGGTTTGTTTGTATGTCTTAACTACCAAGAAAAAAAAGTTTATTGTCAATGTACAACGATAAACATGCCTTCTTAAAATTGTTAATTGCACAATTGTTGTTGATCTCTGATCTCATGTTGCATGTTCTAATGTGTTTTTATAACGATAATCATGCATCAACGTCTATATCGTACATCATTACATATTATCACCAAGTATTTCATGTGGTATTATGGTTAAATATGTTTTTGAAATTTTGAAATACTCCCATTATTGTCTTAAATTACGACATAATTATAATTATTGATTTTTTTTTAAATTGCGAAATGATAATGGGCATGGGATATTAAAACATTTATGTGGAAAACGCGGGTTCGAATTCGTAATTATTGTATCAATATCCTGTTTAAAATTTATAATGCATTTTAGAAGAAACCTTGCCTTTTATAATGTTTTACTCTTGTATTTTCATGTTATTTTTCTTTCATCTGAATCATGCAGATGCTTGCATTTTTATTTAGTCACGTGATTTATATACACTTTATATATTTTCCTTTTCAGTATCATAATAAAACATTGTAATCCTTTTTGCTTTGTCTCTGTATGGTAAAAATAGGGATCCGTTTTGTTATGGTGTTTAAGTATATACATAATAATTATGCTACTACAATATGACTTCAATAGAGACTATCCTTATTAACATGACTTGTATAATCATCATCGTCTTTTAAAATATTGGAGTAAGGAATACATACTTGCTAGTATTTAAATTGATTATCCCATTTATGGCCCAAGAAATATTTGCACAAAAGTCTTGCATACAAAAGACCTAGATGACCATCTCCATGTGTATAAATGCAAGCAGTATGCAATGTTAATTTGATGTTTAAAATTCAAATATCTGCAGTTGTACTGTGTACAGTACGTAAAAGGAAAAGAGCATCTCAAGACAGAGTATGAGCATTTAGTGCATACGTACTAATCATATAAGTCACGCGGCATTAATTATGCATTCGTCTGAATGACACAGATTTTTAGAAAACGTGACTGATTAAAAATACAATCTGATAAAGGCATCTGCCGCCGGGATGAAATGCATGGAAGTTTCCCTTTAAAGTTTAATTATCTCACAATTCAATATTACCAGTCAAAACTAGTCTTTGCTTGAAGTGGTATCTTCGTAAGATCTTAGCTTTTAAGTGAATAACATTTTATTCGTTTTTCTAATCGTAATTTATCTTTTTTTCACTTTGATTACTGCATGGGTGGCGAACGTACGTGATGCCTTTGCAACTAAAACCGCATGGGGTTTACTTTGATATACATATCATTTTATCATTAATGATTTTAGTAATGTTTTATAATCAATGATAAAAGTAATAGTATCAGTAAGACATCAAAACATGCGCTAAATACCTGGATATGTAACATTCAATGTTTAACTTATACAAATAAATAGTTTGTCGAAGGAAGTGGTAATGAAAAAGAATCACGCTATATAAAATTTGAGAGAAAATGTGTAAAACAAATGGGTATATAATTACGAAAGAGCGTCAAAATACTTGTCTGTCAGGTTGTTAAAACGTATTAAAAAGAAAGTGCTTGATACAATTCAGTAAGTAATGTTTTTCTAAAACAAATAGTTTGCAAGTGAAATTGAATTAGATATAATATTGAACAAATGTAATATTTGAAAAGTTTGCTCTATAATTATGTACTTTTATTTTGTTATCTATACAATGTTTTATAAGCGTTGATAAAAGTTTGATAGATTGTTATTGAAAACGAATAAAGTACAAAATACAGGAAATACCAAATATGTTTTGTTATTGCATAACAATAGTTATGTTGAAATACGTGCGAACATAATTACTACAATTACTTGAAAGCATTGGCTTTTTTTTTGTTTTATTCATAAAATTTAACTGCGTTTTGTCAAAAGCTCAAATGGGTAGTATACCGTAAAGGTTATTCTAAAATTGGTAATGCAACACAAACAAACTTGATATATTAAATCATAGACTGAAATATGATAATGAAAAAAAAAAAAAAAAGAAACAAATAACATCGCCTAAATCAATAATTACTCAATTAACCGTGAATAAAACAATTATTTACTATTTTTCAAATACAATACTTTTCAACAACAATAACAAACACGTTGTATTTGACAGAATTATCAGCTATTAATATGTCCTTCACATCTGAGAACATCGGAAATGTACTGACGCGGGAAATGTCACTCCATCTCTTCGAATTGTATAAGCCTGTAGAATAAAACAATAAAAACGATCAAATAAAACAAATAATATATGTATTTTTCTTTATGTAACATACAATAACATATGCAACAATTCAATGTTGTAATTTCAATCACAGTGTAATCTTATAACCAAAACTAAAATTAAAGCGATCTGTACCAAAACTAGATTAAGAATTACTTTCTTGTACATATATAATCTTTGCACTACTAAACACAAGTTATTCCTATATGTAATAATTAAAAGATGCATTCTGTCCCATTATCATTGAGACAAAAACGACTAGACAGCCCATATGGAGCGACTAAAGTACCCCTTGCTTTACAGGTTGCTAAATAATTTAGGACTTTTGGGATTAGAAAAACAGGCGGTACAAACCAGTTGCTACAACCAAATTTAGATACAGAAAAAAACATCAACAGACTCTGTATCAGGCATTCAAATTAAAAATTATATCTAGGCAGTTTATGATTATGAGAATTAGCAAACTTGTTAACATCATGAGGAGATGTATCTGAAAAATAGAAGTGAAACACCATAATCATTATAATCACTCCTACGACTTAAACTTTCTGCCGTCTTATCCAGTGACCTGTTAATTCAAATAACATTTAAAGATATCCCATTTTCTGCACATGAAATAAATATTTTAAATGCCGAATTATGCAACACTAAATTTGTGCTACCTTTTCTACTATGCTTACACAGTTCTTACAATCTGTATGCCATTGAACTGTTTTGCATTTTAATTATCCAGACAAAACTGAAACGCTAACTTTACGTCGAACTCACAACGTTTATAACCTGACCATACTTTGTGTGCGACTGAACCATCATAGTCAATATATGCAGCACCGACGCATCAGAATATATGAACACTTCCGGTACATAAGAACTTAACATCTCTCTTCAGAATTCAAGAAATGATTTGCAAGTTGAAATATCAAACAATGTGTTTCTACATTCAATCAAACGATAAAAAAACTTTATTTTAAAAGACAAAAATAACCTAAAACAGGTGACATAGACATGATCTTCCCTGCAAGCCGAGCCGATTTTCTTTATGATAAAGA